GTGGCTTCTATGGATCCTGGATTGGTGACAGTTATCATAGGGAGTCATTTGAAAGTGATTTTCATATAATGACCATTAGATGTGCTTTGGTGAATAAATGTAGGTACCGTTAGGCCATGTGCACATAACGTTGTGGGTGAACGGTTGCTGCAGCAATAAAAATCATTGTTAATGTTGCAAAGATTTAAATTTAGCAAAAGAAGAAATAATTGCCATTTAAGTTCATTTAAGTTCAAGGATTCAGGCTTTCTCTCTAGCAAACAAAATTATTATTTGGTTTGCCCAAAGGTTTTAATTAGCTAAAAAATGTAGTAAAACTCTAACATTCAAAACTGCAGAAATCTTCTTGGCTTCAATACTACAGTTTTAATCATTCCAAGAACTCCTTCACCTTTCCAGTGGTGTTGGGATTGTCTATAGGTGTTTCTGAAGACTATAANTGTTCACTAAACTCATGGCTGCAAAATTTGCTTTTTCATCAGCTTAGGGAAGAAACATTTTGTACCCTGGTCAGATGTTGCTAAGCATGGAGAGTTTCCAGTCTAGTGTGCATGACAAAACGGAAAGGGTGGTGAGTTTGCATTTAATGGAAATCAGAGCCCAGATGTGTATTTCATGGATATCCTAGTGTGTCAGTAGGGAATGGGAAATCAGTTTAGAATTTCAGTGTGGTGTGAAGTTCTGAACTTAGCAAGCAACTGGAACTTGTTTTAAATTAATTTTCTACGAAGCTGTCCCTAGTTTAACCACGATTCACTGAATAGACTGCAATGGCTGATTTCCATTAAATGGCTGCAGTTTATTCTTTAACTTGTTTCACAAAAAGCAAACCCAAGCTGTTTAGGGCTTAACACGCAACATGAATGAAGCTACCATGTTGCTTTTCATTCAAATAACCTTTTTTTTTAAAGATGTAAGAAAATGGCTTTGAATGAGCAGAGTGTTTTGTTGCAGAGGAAGGGACTGATTTCATTCAGTGCCAGAAAACTACAGGATGTATGTACCTCAGTTTATATGCATTGTTTTAAGATTAGGAAAGAAAGAGCAGGAAACAATTGGATCAGCTTTAGGATATTTCCAAGGAATGGAAAAGTTCCAATGTAAATCACAGGAAGGGCCTCACAATGAGCAGACAGCAAGATATTTAATAGACACTTTGTGTATGGATATGACTATATATAGGCTTTTATATGCTGATAAACGCTCCCTGAAGATTTGCATCTGTTATAGTTGGGCTTGTTAATGTTTCTGTGGTTCATAAAATGGATTGTTATTGCTCTTCAACCATGGTGTATGGACTACAGATAATCTTTGATTTACGACCATAATTGAGCCCAAAATGTCTGTTTGCTAAGCGAAACTGTTAAGTAAATTTTACCCCATTTTATGACCTTTCTTGACTAGGATTGTTAAGTGAATCACTGCAGCTGTTAATTTAATAACACGGTTGTTAAGTGAATCCGGCATCCCCACTGACTCTCATGGTTCCGACAGATGAAACTCTTCAAAAGAACATCGAGGCACTGTTTACCTTAAAGACACTTTTATTCGAGAAACAAAGTATCGGCACTACATAGTCGAAACCAAAAACTGAACTCCCCTCCCCTGGGCACAAAGTAGCAAAGCACAATTCCCTTCTCCAATCAACAGTCATAAATCACATTTCCCAATTAGCTTGAAGCGCAGGCTTTCTCCCCAGCTCTCCAGCCTGCCAAATCTTTTATCAACTCTGGGCACAGTAACCTTGGATTCCCACAGCTGAGTTATTATTGTTATGACTAACTGGACTCTCATCCACATCCGCCCTCCCAGCATCAATTAACTCTAAAAACGAAAGAGAAAAGATGGCTACATTTCCATCTGTTGTCAAAGCAAAAACATCCGATGTTAGCAGCGTTGACACTGACTTTGCTTGTCAGAAGTTTGCAAAAGGCGACCACATAACTCTGGGACACTGCAACCATCATAAATACGTTTCAGTGGCCAAAAGTCTGAATTTTGATCATGTGACCATGAGGATACTGCAAGGGTCATATGTGTGGAAAACGGTCATCAATCACCTTTTTTCAGTGCCTTTTGTCACTTTGAACGGTCACTAAATAAACTGTTGAAAGTCCAGGAATACCTGTACCATGGACCCAGTGCAATAATCCTTTACAGTCCTTTTCTTGAAGTTTGGAAACTTTTTGATTACCTTTTGCTGGCCACTGGTTGATATTGAATGCTCAGCTCATTGGGTTTCAGCCAAAACCAGCATGACTGCTCTTACGTGCAGAAGAGGGGAGGCAAGCTGATCCTGGACCTCAAGCAGTAAAAGTCTGTCTGCTTTTGAGGCCTCACCCTCTTGGGATTTTGCAGCGCTGAGGAATACCATAACGTATGTTTGGGATGCTTCTTGAGAAATAGAGCAATATGAGGAAAAGAATTCCATAGGCATTTGCTTTGTAAAAGAAGAATTGCTTCACCCTCTGGGAAGGTTCTTGTTTGAAAGATTAAAAACTCTGGCATGTGTAATTCTGTTGCATCTGGAGATGACAGTCTGGACCCTATCTTTGGGATCCTGGTCATGCTTCTCCAGGATTTCCAAGGAAATCTTTGCCTCCTTTAGTTCTTGGCTTTCCTTTCACTCCCCAGCTGGGGACAAGCAGAGAAGTCTAGCACATTAATTGAAAACTTTGGCTACAGTTCACATTAAGCAACTGCAATATGCATGCCAGAGATTCAAGACCAAATTTGGAAATGTGCTAGTAAGGGGCACGGGGTGTGGGGTGGGGAGAGAGCATTTCTCCAATCTTTTGAAATATATACAGGATTAAAAAAAAGATTGTTTCTATTGATCGTTTCTATAGAACAGGGCTTTTCAACCTTTTCACCCATTGTACCACTTTTAGGATATGGCAACATCCGAGTACCACCTAGCAAGGGGTCAAAAACTTGATGATCCCCCCCCAAAAAACAGGAAAAAAGTGATAAAGTACAAGTAGTCCTCGACTTACAACAGTTCGCTTAGTGACTGTTTGAAGTTACAATGGCACTGAAAAAAGTGCCCCCCAAGCCACAGCCGAGCAAGACACCTGCCTGCCCGCCCGGCCACGCTCTTCCTCCTGTCCGAGGTTTTCATTGTTGTGAGCATTTCTGTTGAGGATTGGCAGCGGGGGTGGGGTGGGGGGTGTTTGGTTTTTATTCCCCCCGTCTGCTGGGTGGTTGCAGCAGGTTTTGGTCACTTCACATGACCCTGGGACACTGTGACTGTCATAAATATGAATCAGTTGCCAAGCATCTGAATGTAAATCACAAGACCCTGGAGATGCAACATTCCAGCTAATCGGCGCTTCTTCTGGGCTCAGCAGAAGCCCCAGGATCAGCACCAAGCTCCCGTTGGATCCTGGCGCTGATCCTGGCGCTTCCGCTGAGCCCTGACAGCCCTGCAGCTCCAGCCTTCTCTCACTCAGGCTTGTGCGGTGCTGCCACCTGTTCAGCTCATTCCCCTCCCCCGCTACCACTTTTCTAGGATGGTCGCGTACCACCTGCCAGGTGCCAATGTACCACAGGTGGTACCCGTACCACTGGTTGAAAAGCCTTGCTATAGAAGTTCGCTTCTCGAACATTTTTGCATGAGATCATTCTGATGTAACAAACTCTTAATTGGCTGATTTGTACAGATCAAGTACAGTCAGTCCAAGCATAGAAATTCAAGAAATGGCGAGTTCTCATAATGTTTTCTTTGGTGTTTCTTGTTTAAAAATCTGAGAGATTACAGTAGTAGGAAATCAAATCTGAGAGATTATAGTAATAGGAAATATTTCAACTTGCAACAGGGACGGTCAATCACATGGATGTCTCCATCCACTGTAGAAACTTCCATGTCCCAACAAGAAGACTCGGTTTTTATAGAGAGAGAGATATAGAATTAGATATACAGTATAGATATTTCAGTTATGATTTCTTATTACTGCAATCTCAGATTATACATATGGCGCAAGGCTTTAGAAAGACAATGAAAATTTGGCTGTTTCCTTTCGGTCAAGATGCGTAGAATTCTTACATGGAAGGGTATGATACATTTGAATACTTGATTATTAATGAATTGTTATATTTATTTTAGTTGGTGATATTTTGTTCGGGGTTATTTTTGTTTATCAGTTTACTGCATGCTTCTCAGGGTTTCATTGTTTAAATGGGGCAACTATATATATGCTGGAAATGAATCAATAATCCTTCTGTGAGCGAGGCTAGACTGAGAGAGAACATGATTAGTCAAAGTTCCCCAAGGGGCTCCTGTAACTAAGGCTGGATTTAAACCTGGGTTTCCCCTGTTTGGAGTCCCAAATTAAGTGCTACATTCTCAATAGCTACAGTATTTCTCCTTTAGAAGCAGGAGAGAAATAGATCTGTTACTCTGCTGCATGTGGCCTGAAATCAGATAAGTAAAAGTGTTATGCTTGAGGACTGTTATCTGCTTCTGGAGCTAATCAAATACACTGGCACAAGAACAAGGAGATTTCTTTAGGTGATATCTGTCTCATTATGGTTTTTTTTAAAAAGGCCAGAACCAGGATTAGGTCAGATAAAACAAAAGCCTATTTGGTCAGGGAACCTTAGCATTCATAATAGAACCTTACTTTGCTTCTCAGTACAGTTAAATGTACAGTGGTACTTTGGTACTTAACTGCTTTGAAACTCATCAAATTTAGTACTCAACACATTTTGACTTGAAAATTTTGTCCCGGTATTCATCGTTTGTTTGATACTCAAAGCACAAGCTAGAACTTATTGGTGCCAGCTGCCTTGTGATTCATTTCATTATTCCTTAGGGGAAAAATAGTTTGGTACTCATTGTTTTTAGTACTCATCACACCTCCCAGAACCAATTAATGATGAGTAACAAGGTACCACTGTAGTTTTATAGCCCATTTGCAGAAAACGTTTTCTAAAATAGTTTGGGAATGGAGCAAAATGGTGCCTAAATGTGATACTGTATATTTAACATGCCTTTTCAGGAAAGACCGAAGCGGTGATCAGAAACTTCAGCCCACACTATAAGCGCCAATATGCTGTGTCCTTTTGCAAACAGATCCAGAATGAGCTGGAACAAAATAGAGATCTGCAGTCTCAATTCTTAAAAACAAAGGTAACAAAAAGTATTATTCATATATCTTTCTATGTTTCCACCCCATGTTTTGGGCTATTGATGTCAGCATTGCAAGGTGAACTATACAGGAAATACAGACAGATGAGCTAATTCTACTTCACTGTAAAGCTACATAAACAAAGTCTCATAAGTCCCAAAATACATTTCTCTTCCTATCTCCCTTTGCAGCCCATGAAACTCAAGAGTCCCTTCTGAGCTATTCACCCAACCTACATTCCTCCTACAGGCTAAGCTGCCATTTATCTGACCATTTCCTTGGCTTCATCTCTTTGCCCAGTCTCCCAAGATTATCCCACATGCTATTACCATTGGCCATATCTTCATTATGCATGTTGCTATCATCTCCATCTGAGTTCAGATGCACCAGTTCCCTTCCTATCTTCTGTAATTCAGACTCATTGTAGTTGTTATCACAATCTGGCAAACTGTGTTTGAAGGTTCTAGTTGGCTATGAGGTTACTAGCTGATCATGTCCTCATTTGTGGTCTAGTTCACACATCAAGCTAAGCCTGAATGTGATTTCATTTGGTTTTACCTTTGTGCATTATGCAAAAAAGATTTCTGTGTGAGTGATAATTTATGCCTTAGTCAAGATGCCAATTTATCTATTCTAGGTTTGTTTAATTGACCAGTATTGAGGAAACTATGATTTAATGCATGAATACAGTTATCCTCTTTGAGTTGCATCTGTTTCACAAGAGCCTATGTTGTGCTTCCCAAGAGCTCTGTTGAACCACAAATGATGAAAATACCTAGATTCCTGTGCAAAAAGTATCAGCATGTACTTTAGGCTAGAGAAAATGAAACCATTTAGAAACAGGCTTCATGGCTAATAAATTTAATGAATTAACTAACTAGCTAAATAAATAAATACTGTAAATTGGTTTTGTTTCCAAGCCCTTTTCCTCTCAAGCAGAATATTCAGGCTCATCTGAAAGCTGAATTTGAGTGTACAGGGCTCAGATACAGTATAATCTTGCTGTAGTAGCATGAAAAATCTCATACGTTCATATCAGTGCTTTGAAGTTCCACACCAATCTTTCCAAGAGGCTAGACCCTTTCGCCCACTTTACAAAAGAAAAGGAAAATAATATTTGTAAGAAGCTCATTCTGTTTCTTGGTATCATTTTTCTATAGCCACCTGGATCATCCAGCATGGTCCTTTATGAAGGAGAGGTGTCACATTTTGCTGAAGACCTGAAGAAATGGAAAGAGAGATACATAGTAATTAAAAATAATTACGCCGTGGAAAGCTTTGAAAGCAAAGAGGTACACTGTTGATTTATTAAGTTCTGAGGCAAGCATGATGCTTAGCACTGCTGATCTGTTGGGTTCTATTCTGAAATCCAAAATGGTGAATGCGTATACTTTTTGAGCCACTCGGCACATTTGTAACCCTTGGAGCATATTATAGGCAGATGTGTAAAATAAAATACTAATTTACACATTGACAGAATGGGAATTGAGGTGCTTTGCTAACTCATTCCTGAAGTCCACCCTGGGAAATTTCGATCAACCCACGTTTATGCCCCCCCCCTTCTTGGCAGTTGGACATGCTTCCCTTAAAAGTCTTGAGCTGTAGCCACCCATGATTTCTGTTCTTCAAGAACATTTATAGACAACCTTAAAAATAAAGAGAGTAAAATGGGATAGCAATTTATAATACCCATGTTTCCCCGAAAATAAGACCTGGTCTTATTTTTTTTTATTTTTTTTTGCCTCCAAAAGAGGCACCAGGTCTGATTTTCAGGGGATGTCTTTTATACTCACTGAGAGCCCCTCCCAGCCGGTCCACTTCTACTGGCCGAAGGAACAGCTTCATTCTGCAGGTGCATTCCGGCCTGCATCTTGCATTCAGGCCTTTCCGGAAGGCCTATGCAGCTGAGAACCAAGCTATGGATTGAATCCATAGCTCTGTTCTCGGCTGCAGAGGCCTTCTGGAAAGGCCTGTGACTGAGAACTGCAGGCCTCGCTGTAGAAGACGCCGCAGAAGAAGTGGGCCGTTGAGGAGAGGCCTGGCTGCAAGGTAAGTGGATGCGGGGCATGTGGGGCAGCTCCACCCTCCCACCCCCGCCCTAGCTTGGTTTTTAGGTATGTGCCTCGCCCCAAAACTAGGGCTTATTTTGGGGGCAGGGCTTATATTAGGCCCATCCCCAAAAATCAAGCTAGGGCTTATTTTTGTGGGAGGCCTTATTTTCGGGGAAACACGATATGTTGTTTTCCATTTTTAAAAAAAAGTTTTAAGAAGATGTTAGTATTCTAAAGTGGTTGTCTTTTTATCCAGGCCTCAAATTATTCTGCTCCAAGGACATAAACTGTATATGAGTATTGCCATTTTCCAATCTTTTTTGTGTCTCGTATTTTCTTTGTGCCTTTGAGAAATCAACACCTCCAAAAGACATCAGTCTTTTCCACCACCTATCCCATTTGTCTGCATTCTTTTCCACTTTGTAGCTTGATGTATTCCCAATATGTGATTAGAGATAGATGTTTTCAAGGTCAGACAACTGGAGGTAAGCAAGGTTACTGAAAGTCATGAAGTCGTCAAAGGTGATTAGCAGACTGTTGTGCCATCTTGGGAGGTTATAAATTTGATATTTTTGTGATGGAAAGTTCCAAGTAAATTCCTAGGTATTTAAAAGACTTGATTTGATTATTTTTTTTTTCACCATACACCATACACCATACACCAAAACTACATAAACATAAATCTTTTCTTCTAACAGAACAGTGCTTTACATTTTAAATGTTCTTTACATCTTATTTACATTTTATATACATCAATAATTATATCTTTTTCTTTCTCTGTTCTAGCCAATTATAACATTTATTCCAAATTTCATAAAATTCTGACGTCTCCTTATCTTTTAGT